TGCTCCCAAATAGCCAACCAATGCCAAATTATAAGTAAAAATAATAATAAAAAAATAATATGGTAAGCAGATTTAAAGTGATACATTTAAATCAAAAGAATGACCAGAGCACTTATCATGGGGCTGTAGATGCTGCCATAACACAGACTCTGATGTGATGATTGAGCACTTTTCATGATGTGCATGCAGATAATATATTTAGAGAGGAATTTAGTGCACATGTTTAAGTTCTTTTTTTTCCTAATTAAAATAAATATTATAGTTAAAATGTTTTTTTTATACCCTGTTGTAAAAAATTTTTTTTGAGAAACCTACCAAAGTGCTGCCAACTGACCCTGAATGGCAATGCTAAATATCAAGGTGGATTGAAAGTGTGGTCACAATGAGGTAAGGTGGTAGCAGTGGCGTCACCAGGGGATGGCCAGGGGTGTCCACGGCCATCCTGTGCAATGCTCTGGACATCCCACTGGCAACCCCACTGGCCAGTGGAAATTGTAGTAGCATTTCTTCCCATTATGCACAGCAAGCGACGTAATATTAAAGATCACACAATAAACCAAGATATGAGTAGGTGCTTACTTAAGTCTTTATGATTTCTACAGGCAGGTTTACAAGGCTGTCAACTCTCACCCATTGGGTTGAGACTCACACATCTCAGTGTCTTCTCACGCGCTCACTCCTTATCTCCATTTTTCCACGCAAAAAGATGACGGACATTAAAACTCAACTCCATTCCAGTTATTTATATATAAAAATACCATGCTGATAAAAATCCAGTCCACATTTTCATAACAACCTTAGTGCTCACATACAGGGATTGGCCAGGTTTCGTATGGAGTCTGTATTTTAGCACCAGCCCACCTATTCACTGCTGGACCTAAGCCAGATATTGAAAAAAGACCGGAATTTTCTAGCATTTATTACTATGCCACTTGAATCTTATCTTATTGGACTAAGATCATTCACTTTGTAAAGTAATGAAGCAATGTACTTGAGTAAATATGAATAAACTATACAGCAGCTGGCTTAAATAATCAATGTGGAAACTGAGTGTAGGATCAGATCAAATGGTTTGTTTTCTCTTCATCTAGACCTGTTTTTTTTTTATCAAGCTTTAATCCTTGTTTCCTCTAATTTAGCCTCATGATTTAGTCCCAGATTTAGTCCATGTTTTGCTCACAAGTAAAATAATTATTGCTCAGTCTAGTTGAATAATCTCCCGTTGGATTTTAGGACTAATTAAACCAACAATAAACTAAACTAACTTCTTAAAGCTTTCAGATATGCCTCACAAACCCATAGGAGATCCACAACAGAAAAGAACCATTGCATTGTATTTGTCAAAAGATCAGCCACTCAAGAAAAGACCAACCACATTCAGATAGGATGTGCAGAACAACTCAGTTATCCAGGATTCATAGAGGAGGAACCAGAGGGATGTATTTAGGTCCATTAAATATGTTTAAAAACTTCACATCTACCAAAATTAAACATCCACAGAAATGCTGTCTTGTGTCATGGTGAGTTTTTATAGAATCTTCAGCCTCCTAGAAGGTCTGAATTGTCAATTGTAAAAATGTAATAATATAAGTTACGATTTTTAATCCTTAGCCTATTTCCAAATATTCATACACAGTATATTTTGCACGGTTCCTGTATTAGTGCCAGTAATCCAGTAATAACTAATTTGTTTCGCATTGTTTATTTTACTTGAGCTGCATAGAATTATTTATAAATACAGTTGTGAAATTGTTAGTTTACAGTTGATGCAAGTATTTTAATAGGGCCCATACTTTTAGTTCAGTTCTCTAAAAGTCACCAGAATATAGAAAATAATGTATATTGTGTGAAAATGTTCCTCATAACTACGGATCAATTATTTTTATTTAGTAACATTTACTGCGCTTTAAAAAATTCCACGTTTTGCCACTTTGTTTCAGTTTAATTCTCTGAAAATCTCACTCAAGGTTTGGTGAAACGTTGGCAGTCCTGGGTTTACCACAATAGATTAAAACCCTGAAATTATGGCTTTAAGTTTCAGTGTGCCAACCTCAGATTTTTGTGGCCCCATCTGGCCACCCCGATGAAACGTTTCTGGAGACGCCACTGGGTGGCAGCAAGCTTAACCTAGCATAGCCTTGTTGAAGCACTGAAAGCTGGTGCTGTGCCGGTAGTGGAAGAGATGATGACTTGTAACCGAGGCATGTGTCTGAGTAAGAATACATATTTCCTCAAAAAGCTAAATGTTATTTTGTATTAGTTGAAAAAACACAAAACCTTCAGAAGTAGAGTCCAAAGGTGATTCAGAAAAAGTCTTAGCAGCTGAAAGATGTGCAGGTGTGCCTTAATATGCATTGTAATACCTATGAGACGTCAAGTGAGTGGCACTGTAAAACTTCAGCGAAAGTATAGAGGGGGAAAAGCAGGTTAGAAACAATCCCTCCTTCTGAAATGAGCATTTGTAGCTCCCATTCCTTCACCTTTTACTAAAAACAGTAATGTCAGGAGGAAAGGAACTCCTGACCGATGTGCTGAATCCGGATGACCTTCAGCCTTCAGGACGTCATTACAGAATAGGAATAAATATATAATTAATTTTAAAGGTATTGTGTAGGAATTTCTTGAATTTTTTAAAAGACCCTTCCTTCTCCAAATCCGCGTGCAAGAGCATATGCACGAGCCCATTTCTCCTGTAGAGTGAAAAAAGTATTCAATCGTTCACCCCAGTTAAATAAACTGAGATCGATGGATTTCACTTTGCCAGCACTTATAATATAATACACATATTCAGCCCTATTCTGCCTGGGCAGAGTGCATTCCCTTTACTTACAATGGTACTATACAATAATGGAAAATAGTCAGCGTCAAAACAAATCACAGATACTTTGGTTAAACAGAAACGTGTTAGGAATAATCCTTGAGAAAGAATCGGGCTTGTTTTCGGAAGAAGCTATGTCTGGTCTACAAACACACTCATGCAAGGGAATTGTGTTGTCAGGATTTGTTTGTGGATTGAGGACCCAAAAGCAGAGGCAGGCAGGCAGAGGTGAATTTTTAGTAGATTTAATGATGAGTACTGAAGCAAAGTCCAAAAAACAAATGAGAAACCAGGAGTCCAAAAATTCAAAGATCTAAAAAAACAACATGAAAACATAAGTCAAACGTTACCAAAAACCTAGGAGACAAGTAGGAGGAAGACTGATGAGGTTAGACAAGGACCCAGCAAAGAGGAAGTGAACAGAAAGAGCTTTTAAAGGAGACAGAGACAAAGAGAGGGCTAATGAGCAGATAGGAAACAGGTGAGCACAGAAGAAGAAACAAAACATCAGCTAGGGAAAAAGGAGAACACAAGAGCGCAGCAGAGGGCAACAAATGAAAAACCTGGAAGACTGACGATAACTAGAAAATACAACAAAATAATAATTAAACCACTAAGACTATAAAACATTAAGAAAAGTAAAACTAAACACTCAAAAGAAACATAACAGAACCAAGACTGAAACAGTAACTAGGAATAAACTAGAGAACACAGCAAAATAAAAATAAAACCACTAACACTAGAAAACAAGGAGCAAAGCAAAACTGAACACTAAAAAGAAAATATAACAGAACCAAGACTAGGACAGTAACTGAGAAAAAACCAAAGAACACAATAAACTAAGAATTAAACCATAAAAACTAAGAAACGAGGAGAAAAGCAAAACTGAATACTCAAAAGAAAAATATCGAAGAAAACAGAAACCTAACATGTGTTGCCTTGCATTGGAAAAAGACTGAGTGGAAGCTTTTATAGTGACTAAATAGGATAAATAAATATATATAAAGTTTAGACTTAGACAGACTTTATTTGTCATTATGCCCACACAAGTGTATACAAAAAAAAATAATTCATTCAGTACAGCTCTCAAGACATTTTTTTAAAGTGTAGCCTTGGTAAAGGTAAGCAGCAGTAATAATGTAGACTTACGACTGTATAGTTACAGTTCCAAAATTCAGGGATTAATTTTTTTTTAAATATGAAATAAGAGAAATCTAAATTTTCCAACCACACTCCTCATGCACGCTCTGCTTAAAAGTTGCTGTTCTCTTCCCTCAATCACTATATAGAGCGGGGACTATATAGTGGACTCAATGACTGTCTCAAACCGTAGCTCACCACACGTATATGCCTGAAAGCATGCGCAGTAAAAGATAGCTGACTGAACGAGCACGTAGGATGGCCTTACGTAAACATATCACCAGAATGATTGACAATTAGGATGACCACTTATTTAGATGATCCACCCAGAAATAAAAGATTGTCCTCTATAACTTAAATTAGGACTAAGGCCTTCTGGAAAAGAAGTACTAAAACAAAAGTCACACAAATATAGTTAACAGCTGAAGCTCTTCATTATAAACCCTCAACATATGAAGATGTATCCCATAGAAAGCACGTTAAGAAAAAATGTGTTTTTGTTCAACTGTATGAGGTAGGCTGTGCCTAGACATCCTGTCGTGCAAAAAATTGTAGGCAACAGCATACCTCCTATGCAGCAGATAGAAATGGCAGAAGGCTCCTATGCTAAGTGAATTACAATACGAAGCATCCTTCTTCCTCCTCCGAACTCCTTTCTTTACACCCAGTTTGGTTGAAGTAGACTAAACAAGTTTTGTTTTACCACTGTACTTTCAACATATATATATAAAAAAACTGGAAATGTAACACATTTGATTTTGCTGTGTAATGTAATTGCCTGATAGCATCTAAATGAAAAAACATTCCAATAATTTTTAAAAGTTTCTACCTGCAAAAAAGGAATAAATAAATGTATATACCATTGTTAAGTTCATGGATATAAAATGCGTTGTTTGTGGATATCAATGAAGAAAAGGATATAAGGGCTACAGCCTGACCTGGTGAATTGAGGATTATTGGAAAATTTAAAAAATTTAAAATTGTCTCAAACTGATCTGACAGATCAAGCTAAACTTATATCTTGAAAATAAGAGAAAAAAAAATTTAAGCTGTAGTTTTAGCAACAAAAATGCTCTTCATCACACGGAATAATGAAGGAAAACCTTTTCTTTACAGATGACTCTGTATATCTGTTTGTTGTCAATCACCCTCAGCGCAAAAGCCAGGTAGAGATCTTTCGTTTCATTGAGGAAGACGAACTTGTGCACTTAAAAACTGTTACACACCCTTTACTGCACAGGTATTTATGCTTTCTTCAGTAAATCCTGGTTTACCAAGAGCTATATTTTCAAATATCAATCTTTTTTTCTGCTTGTCTTTGTTTCAGTGTGAATGACATTGTTGCCGTTGGACCAGAGCATTTCTACGCCACAAACGATCGTTATACTGATAATGGTGCAATTCAGCTGCTGATCTTCGTCCTGGGTCTTCCCTTGTGTAACGTTGTGTACTACAGTCCTGGTGAAGTGAGGGAGGCAGCTGGTAGCATGCAGTCTGCAAATGGGATAAATATATCTCCAGACAAACGGTTATTTTCAGCCTCCTTTCACCCTATTCAGCACCTATGTACACACTTTCCTTTAAAATTGCACCTCAGCTAATTACTTAAAAAAAAAAAAAAATTATTTCTCCTACTGAAAGGAATGTCATTTAACTGAACAGTATTGCACTTTCAGTTCCTGGTCAGTGCTCCATACCTATGAATCAAATGGAGCTTTGCAGGCTGGCATTGATCATCAGCCTGTGACTTTACCTACACTGAGGTTAAGGAAGTCTAGTTTGCATTTATAATGGCCTCCAACAATTAGAATAACGATTCTATAATACTATGTTTTTATTAAAAGTATGACCTTTTAAACCAAACTTATTTAAAACATTTTTTGTGTATGTTTAAATAACTTTACAGCCGTTAATGCTGAAATAATTTGACAGATCCATTTTCTTTTTCCCCCAACAGGTATATTTATGTTTCCAATATGCTGGACCATGCTGTGGATGTTTTTGAGCGACTGGACGGAGAACAGTTGGTCTTTGTTAAGGTAAATGTTTTCTGTTGTTGGTAGGGATCTGGATACTTCTGCTTTTCAACAGAGCGTTTCTAACCGCTTCTGGTATTTTAGTTTTCAGTTTGCACCAGAGATCGGTAACTTGAACAATCTTTCTTGATTTTTATCTAAAAAAAGAAAAAAAAAACATGCAACTTTTTTTTTTTGTTTCCTATTTGTTGCTTTTCAAATTGAAAACAATAGCTTGAAATGCTGTGATATGAGTTTTTGCAGAGCTCATACTGATCGTATCTGGTGTACCTTGTGTGTGTTTCTTCTGCACAGTCTGTCCCGGTTGGAACACTTTGTGATAACATCGAGGTAGATCACATGACAGGGGACGTCTGGCTGGGCTGCCATCCAGATGCCACTAAGTTGTCCAACTTTGATCTTAAAGATCCACCTGGCTCTGAGGTCTTTTTATATTTTTACTACTATTGTTTGCTTGATTTTATATTCAACTCTTATTAGTTTACCTACTATTGTTTGCTTGTTTTTATATTCAACCTTAGTTTAACTGCTATTAAATATAAACCTTTCCTGCAGATCATCAAAGTCAAGAACATCCTCTCAGATAAGCCAGTGGTGACCCTGGAGTATGGAGACAACGGCCATGAGCTGATGGGCTCAACTGTCGCCGCTCCCTACGAGGGAAAGCTGCTCATTGGCACAGCTTTTCACAAAGCCCTGTATTGTGATTTAAAATAAACTATTAACACATTCAAATATTATACCAGTAAGGCAGTTCCCTGATGTAACAAGGAAACAGTTTCAGGAGGATCGAATAACATCGCAGCTTGTTTTTCCTGGTATTTACACCTACAGAACAGCTTGACACAGTTTAAAACATGTTTTTGGTGGCACTGTATTAGTCCTAAAATTGTGCAAGTCAGTTATTAATACAGTTATGCTGAGACGTTTTTTATGCACCCAACAGAGACAAAATTCGATAATTTCAGACTTTTAATAATTTTTAAATTGTTTTTTTTCTTCTTTCACACAACAAGCAATGCCAATGAGGTCTAAAAGCAAGAAAAAGACAACTTTGTATTCATTGTGGATTTTCTCCAAGAATTGTACAGGTTCTTATATAAACATCCAGGTTTCTACTTTGTTTGGAGTGTTGAATGCATTTTTTTTTTCTTTTCCATGCAAAAAACAAAACCAAAAAAAAAAACAGCAATCTAATTATGCTTCAGTAATAGGAAAATGCATTTGGGCAGTGATCATTAGGCTTCATCTTTGTTTCAGTGTTTTTCTGTATCAGTATTTGTTTTTTACTGACTTAATTCTCACTCATAAAATTATAAACTACAATTTTCTGGAGTTTGGATCCAGGTTTACCTGGACCTGTGGTTCTACAGCTGAGACTGGTTAAAATACAAGTCTTACTGTAACACTGCTATTGTTTGAAATTTTTTTTTTCCACAAATGAAATGTTCACATGCTGTGCTTTATAGCAATCTTCATGTAGTGTAGGTTTACACTGTCGCTATTTGTCAAGTCGTGAGAGTATTATTTGTTAAAAAGCTGATTTAATTAAGGCCAAACTGCCCTGTAGCACACTCCAAAAATGTTCTACCGATACAGACAGACCCAGGAATCTTTTACATTGTTTCCAATAGTATTTACTGACAGGAATTTGAAACATTTTGGTTATATCAGGGCCTAAACTGTTATTTTGTAAAAAAAAAAAAAAAATGTTTTCAATTATAAAAAACAACTGATTATATCTGAGTTGTGCTTATATAACAGATTTCATTTGTCGTTACAGTTAAAATAATTGTAAGGTTAGAACAAAATCAGCTATCTTTATTCTGTGGGAATTTACTGTCCTGAGATCTACCAAAGTAAACCAAATAAAAAAAAAAACATGTCTACTTTAACAAAGACTTAATTGGGCCACGAAGTGAACAAAGTTGGAAAAAAGTCTCAAATATTTCCCCACACCAGGACCAAGCAAAATTAAAGGACAAGTTAAAATAATAATAAGAAACCTAACAGATACAATCGGCTCTCGCAGCGCTTCGCTACTCGGGCCTAATTATGAAGGTGATTAATAAATGTTGAGAAACTAGTGATGCTGATTTCATGATGGGTTTGTGACGACAAAGACAAATACGACTAAAAATGTCCTGTTTTTTTGAAGAATCTTTCATCCTTTTTCATCAAGTTCTAATTCCAGATCGATTTCTGCTACCTTAGATATTGTAAATCGGGTCTCCCCACCCTCAGGATGCTGCACATTCTCCTCTTCTGCAACATTTCTGTCAGGTGCCGTGAAGGTGATCCCATCATTTACAAACTCAGAGGAACCATCTTTGTTGTCCTCCTTGTGGTTTATTTTCTCCCATACTTCTGATGTGGGCTCTTTGATATTTCCCTGCCTTGTAAGGTTCTCTTCCTCCTGTTCTTTTTGGTCCACCATGGCATTCGCAAACACATCACTTAAACTGATGTGCCGCTTGTGCCGCGGCGAGTGGTCCAAGGTCCGAATGCTATTGCCCAAGATGTCACTGCAACTCTTGGAGCGGTTTATGATTATGTTTTCCGGGATTTTTTTCCTCTTTTCTTTGATTCCAATCTCTTTGATCACTGTGCTGTAGTCCTCGTCCTTCTCTGAGAGAAAGTCGAAGATGTCGACAACAGTCCGCTTCACTTCTTGACGTTGCTTCTCCTCTTCAGAGTCTGGTTCCTGCTCGTACAAAATTCTGTTCCTGTTCCTGTGCATCCGTTTCTTCTTGAACACTTTATGAGCTTCCACAACCATGTGGACATTCCAGCTGAAGAACAAGGACAGCCATGCCAGTCCCATGTACATCCATACCTCTGCTAAGACTCTGTAGAGTTTGGGATACTCGATATCAGGATTTACACCTGAAATGAGGCAATGAGCTGTTAGAAGTCCAATTCTTTTCAAATTTCACATTCATACCAAAAGTCTCACCTGCCACATAATCTCCAAAACCAACGGTTGTGAGTGTGATGAAAGAGAAATAGATCCCTTCCAGATAGCTCCATTCTTCCATAAACATGAAAACAATTGGAGGGATAACCAAATGCACCAGCAAACCCCATAGGAGGAATATGGCCGTACATGTCAGCTGGACTTTTTTCTGTTAAAGACAGTACAGAAAAAATATAGTTACAACGTTTTATATTCAGCTTTGTCATGTTTGTGCACAAAAGGATTTCACTTTACTTCCTCTTTTCTCTAAAAACTATATACTATATAAACAATTTCACAAAAGATAAGGACATGGTTTAAATGTAAGGATCGGGAGCTGTAATGGAATTTTTAGATCAAAGTGAATTTACGCAGATATATGGTCTAGTCAAAGTCTAGAATCAAATCCCACTGAGAATCAGCTGCATGCCTTACCACTGAAACACCCTTTTTTATGAGAATCCCAGACAGCCGTTTGGCCCGGTCTCCAAAGAAGGAGCCCAGTGTACTTATCCACACCAGGCAGAGAGGGATCCCGCACAAGCCATACAGGATGCAGAACACGCGACCACCTTCTGTCTTGGGAGCAACATTACCATAACCTTAAGAAAAAAAAAAAAGAATAAAGCAGAGCAGAGAGGATACCTTCAGTATAGTTTACAAACTGTTTATGAACGTACAGATAAGGTAGAAACCAGATATATTAAAGTTATTAAAGTTTGTAGCTGGAGATGTTCAGTAGATGAAGTTACAAATTACAAATTTAGCATCATCACTCGCAGTTCTAGTTCAAATATGCAAGGGAGCCAGGGTGGGGCAAGTGTGGTTTTTGTTTTTTCATGAGGGAATAGAATATAATAATAATTCACACATTAAATCAGATTTCTCTGTACTGACTTGTGAGGAATACATTGAATTCCATTCATTTCTAAAACCTAACTGGAACCCTTCATAACTAACCCTAATCCCAACCTTAACTGAATTTACACCTTAGTACTAAACTTTACACCTAACCCTAAAAAAGCATTTGTATTCATGTAGTGCAGGCATTGGTCTCCATGATGTGCTGTATTTTATGGAAAACGTAAGAAATACACGCCCACTCACACACAAAAAAAACGTCATTCAGAGCCAAGGCTACAGGCTGACCCAGGCTTAAACCTGACTGCATTTTGTAAATTGTTTTTAAATGGACTGTACGGGGAAAGCGTTAAATTGGTCAAAGGGATGAATCAGTTACAGTCTTATCTGTCAGCACGAAATCCATCCATCCATTTTCTGACATGCTTTATCCCAAGTGGGGTCACAAGGGGTGCTGATGTCTATCTCCAGCTTTCTACGGGTGAGACGCAGGGTACACACTGGATAGGTCACCAGTCCATCGCAGGGCAACACAGAGACAAACAGGTCAAACAACCATTCACACACACACTCACACCTAAGGAGAATTTAGAGAAGCCAAATAACCTAACAGTCATGTTTTTTTTGGACTGTGGGAGGAAGCCGGAGTACCCAGAGAGAACCCACAACTGCTCAGGGATAACATGCAAACTCCACGTAGAAAGACCCCAGGCCGTGAATTGAACCCTCAACCAGGAGTACTACCCATTGTGCCCCCAGCACGTAATCATCAGAAGAAATTGATTTGAACAAAAATTGTACATTTCATAAATAAGCGTATTTGCTCGTAGTTTAAGCAGGTAAATCAGACTTTCTATTGAAGAAATTTGTATATATGCAGTCAAAAATAAGATAGTGGCCTTGTGTTGAAGATTGAGGCTGATTCGGTTATGTTGGGTATGGATAAACAATCACTCCAGGGTGTCGGGTTAGAACAGCTGATATATATGTCCAGGTGAGTTAGTGAAAGAAAGGAATGTCCAAGTCCAGAATTGAGCTTTACTTCCTTTTAATTAGCTCATGAGGTTCAGCCATACATATAAAGGCACGTGTGATGGGCTCACATGAGTGTGTATCTGTGTGTGTGTGGTTTTCTACAAAGATGAACAAAGAAAAATTATGAGAATCTGTCTGTAAATCATTTCACAAATAAACCAAATATCCAGAAATGAATAAACGTCTTTAAACATTACTATAGACTAATAACTGGCTAATATCTGACTATGAAAATGTAAACAATAATAATAATAAACCCTGCGTTTCAACCGGAAACAGTAACAGCTGCATCAATTAAACTAGCTCAACAGCTTAATGCTAACAGCTAACCTTTAGCTCTCAATCATACATGTAAACAGCACTAAACAACCATAATATTCGACAGAACACAGTACAATACAGCTCTCAGGCATTTATGAAACCGAACTAAACCAACAACAATATTACTTACGTTCATTGGACGCACACAATAGAAGGAAGTAAACGAAGTCAGCCTTGAGAGCCGCACCACTCAATGCTCAGATCCATATACAAGATGTAACATATATGAACGTGGAGCCACCTAGTGGCTGAAATAAAATACTACATCTAAAACACTGATAAGGAAAACCTAAACTAGAGGGCTGAAAACGAATAATTAACAGTCTTTTGTACAGCCGCCCCCAAATTTGACACTCAAATTTGACCAGTAGGTTTCTTAATCATCTGGAGGTAGAGCAGGCAGCTTTATGAGGCGAACAACTGGCCGAGTGTAGGTCCTGCCTTTAACTTGAACCACAGCTGTCCTCACGCGTCCGTCTGCTCCGGGTATGACACTTGTCACTGTTCCTACTTGCCAGAGGGCTCTTGGTGTCTGTTGGTCAACAATCAGCACTATAGTGCCTACAGTGATGTCATCCTTTTCTGTTTGCCATTTCTGTCTGGCTTGTAATGTCGGAAGAAAGTGGCGGATGTAATGTTTCCAGAAGTGATCTGTTAAAACCTGAGAATGTCGCCACCTTTTTCGACTTAAAAGTTCAGACTTGGGATAGACCACTTGTGGAAGGGAGGAGTCCGGCCGCCCCATCAACAAACAGTTGGGCGTGACTGGATCGGGATCAGCCAGATCAGATGAAACATAGCCCAAGGGCCTGGAGTTGAGAATACCCTCTATTTCAATAAGGACTGTTCTCAACACCTCCTCTGGCACTGACTGAACTCCAAGAGCGATCCGGAGAGCGTTCTTCACTGATCTAACCTCTCGCTCCCAGGACCCACCAAAATGCGGAGCATTTGGGGGATTAAAGCGGAAATGAATCTGTTGAGCAGCAAGTTGGTCCTTCACTGCTTGTTCCAGGGTACTGAAGGCTTCTTTAAGTTCTTTATCTCCACCTTTGAAATTAGTTCCTTGGTCTGAAAGGATCTCATGAGGCTTTCCTCTTCGAGATATAAAACGTCTGAGTGACATTAGGAAGGAATCGGTGTCCATATTTGGGAGGAGGTCTAGATGGACAGCTCGGGTGGTAAGGCACTTATACAGGATGCCCCACCTCTTTTCGTTGCGACGTCCCACCTTTATCATCATTGGACCAAAACAGTCCACCCCGGTGGAATAGAAAGGCGGTTTGTAAAGCCTCAAACTGGAGGGTGGAAGATCTGCCATCCTTGGGACTTGAGGGCTGCCTCGCCATTTCCTGCAGTCCACACAGCTATGCTGGTGCTTCCTGATGGCTTCTCTCCCTCTAAGTAGCCAGTATTTTCTTCGCAGCTCAGCAAAAACACGCTCTGCTCCAGGGTGGTTTAGCTGTTTGTCATAATGTTGGATCAGGAGTTTGGAAACAGGGTGAGAGGACGAGAGTAAAATGGGATGGCGCGCATCTGGGCCTAGGCTTTCACATCGGCGGAGCCTACCTCCAACACGAATTAGATCTAAGGTCTGATCATATTCAGGGGCGAGTGTGAGCACTCTACTGGTAGATGGAAGAGCCTTTCCCGATTTGAGTAACATCATCTCTTCTGGAAAGCTTTCAACCTGAGCCTGTCTGAAAAGAGCTAACTCAGCCTTGTGATAGTCATCAGCAGTGGGAGACTTGTCACTGGCCACTCCATTGAGTACTCTTGCAGTTGCTTCTAGGAGCTCTTGAAAGGTGTTAAACTGCTGAATGTCAGGAAGAGTTAGTTGTGGGGAGTTAGTTAAACCACAGAATACTGGGTTCCTCAATTCCTCCATTTCCTCAATAAGGTGGTCAGTTGATGATTCAGGCCACTGGTCAGATGCTTGCAGGAGGAAGGATGGTCCTTGATTCCAACGACTTTTTTCAGTCAGTTGGGCTAAGGTTTTCCCTCTGGTGATATCGTCTGCTGGGTTGGAAGCAGAATCGATGTAGCGCCAGGATTTGATATCTGATAATTCCTGTATCTCTGCAACCCTTGTACCTACAAACACTTTATATCTGCAGGAATTGGATTTGAGCCAGTTGAGTACTGTGGTGGAATCAGTCCAGTACATCACATTTTTGATCTTGATGGTGAGTTCTTTCAGCAGCACTGAAGCTAACTGTGCTCCAGTTAAAGCACCACATAACTCGAGTCGAGGTATCGATAGCTGCTTCTTTGGAGCGACTCTGGATCTGGCAGCCACGAATGCAACTTGTACCTTTCCATCCCCATTATCACTACGCAGGTACGCCACTGATCCATAAGCACGTTCAGATGCGTCACAAAACACATGGATGGTCTGACTGATGGTACTACGATCTGTGTTGTGGTCAGTGTAGCATCTGGGTAAGGAGATCTGGGACAACTGGGGAAGCTCTTCTTCCCATGACTTCCAAGCTTGGAGCAGATCTTCAGGGAGATTAGGATCATCCCAACCTCTCTTCTTGTCCCAAAGACGCTGTACAATGATCTTAGCTCTGGTCGTATATGGAATAATGTATCCCAGAGGATCGTATTGTTGGGCAAGAAGACGATAGATGTTACGCATAGTTGGTTCAAGACAGTCATGGTTGTGCTGCTTATAGCAGAGCGTGTCTGACTTACACTGCCACAACAATCCAAGAGTGCGTTCTTGAGGGTTAGCTGTTTGTTGTGTGAACCAAAGTGTGCTGCTCTCTGACCTTGATTCTTTGGGTAGGTGTCTGATGACAGCAGGAACATTGCTGGCCCATTCTCTGAGCTCAAATCCACCTTCCCTGAGTACTGTGTGCAGTCGATTCACCAGCTGCTTGGCCTGGTTCTCTGACTGAAGACTCTGCAGACAGTTATCAACATAGAAACAACGTTCTACTGATTGACGGGCATCCTCTTCTGGTGCAGTGTGTTTTTGGACATGACTTTGTAGTGCAAAGGTGGCACAACATGGACTACACGTTGTACCAAAAGGGAGCACTTGCCACTCATAGATAGTAGGTTCCTGGTCCACCTTAACATCTCTCCACAGGAAACGAAGGAAGGGTTTATCCTCATCCAGCAGGCGCACCTGATGAAACATTCCCTTCACATCACTGCTGATAGCCACGGGGTGCTCTCGGAACCTAAGGAGTACTCCCAGAAGACTGGCTCCAAGTGTGGGCCCAGGAAGAAGGTGATTATTGATGCTCTGCTCATTAAAGATGAAGGAACAGTTGAAGACTATTCTGTACTTCCCATTGTGTTGAACAATGTGGTGTGGAATAAACCATGAATAGTTGCTCTCCTTTGCCTTGGTTGGGGTTATAGGTTTGACGTAACCAGCATCAATGAGCTTGTGGATTTCTCTGGAGTAAATGGTAGCTTTCTCCGGGTCTTTCACCAGCCGTTTCTCTGTCCCACGCAGCTGTGGTAAGACAGCTTCTTTAGGTGCATGGAGAGGTGGGAAGTCCTGTTTCCATAACAATGGCGTAGCATACCTGTTCACACCATCAACCATTACTCTGGTGGTCTTATCTTCTAGTATGCGAACTGCCTCCAAATCTTCTCTTGACCTGGTAATCAACCGTTCACTCCTGTATGGCAGCGTATCTAACTGCCACAACTTTTCCACATGACTTAGAAGCTCTGCTTCCAGTGGATTGCACTTAGTGAAGAGGCACTGTTGTGAAGACAGTTGATGGCATAACAGACTTGTGGGGCCTTGTAAAGTCCATCCTAGTCTGGTACGAACTGCTGCAGGCCCACCTGGTGGACCGAGACGTACTGGTTCCACTGGCGTAACTAGATGTGGGTAATCTGACCCTATCAGCAGCAATGGCTGGGCACCTTTAATGGATGGCAGTGGAACGTCTCTGAGATGGCGATACTTTTCCTTCAGAACTTCAACTGGGTAAGTATGGCAGGATAAATTTAGCTGTTTGGCTGTGAAAGCTTTGTTGACCTGGTATGACTTACTAGGCTGTGAAGCAGGAGCAACTGAGAAGGAGACAGTAGCACCGTTAATGGTGCAGACTTCTTGCCGGACGGTACGAAGTGTGAGGTCTTCAGGCTTCCCTTGAAGACCCAGGCTAAGAGCTGCATCATGTAGGAGTATTGTGCGCTCTGATCCGTCATCCAGTATTGCATAGGTCTCCAGTACCTTTGGACCGCTCTGGAGTATGACACGGCACAACTTGAGTAACACTTGATTGTTTCTGGCTGGCCGATCAACGTACAGTGTCTCTGAAACAGAACTCACTAGGCATGTGCTCGGCTGAGGTGGTTGAGATTCGACGGGCGCTGTGCTCAGTTGGCTGGCATTAACCTCGTGCAGGATATCCAGATGCTTCCTATCACATTGTTTGCACTTGGCTTTGAGATTGCACCTGGCAGCCTGATGTTCCCGTCCGCAACGCCAGCATCGTCTGTTTGCTTTAATCCACTCTGTCCTCTGCTCTACTGACAGGATTTTGAAGTTGCTGCACTGGTTCAAATAATGAAGCTCTGTATCGCAGAAGGGACAGTATTTCTTTGGCTTGTCCTGAGAGAGCTCTCTCACAGCTGGAGTCCTATCTGATTTCATCTTTGACTGAGGAGACTGACTGCCAAGTAGAATCGCTGTAGATCTTTGTGACTTGTAGTCAGGACGTCGGCTCTTGGGTGGGACTTGTCTCTCTCTATTGGAGGTACTGCTGTATTGATCTCCACTAACTTGAACTCGTACTTCGTACTCAAGCCAGTCAGCCAGATCAAGCAGGGTTGGAACTGGAGTATGAACAGGGTTCACAAATCTATGAAAGTGTGCTCTTAGGTCATGTGGCAACTTCACTAGGAGACGAGAGACATGTGATGCACATCTCAGTTCTGTCCATCCTTGGTTTCCAAGTTGCTGCAGCATTCCTACTAAGGCTCGAACTTGAAGGGCAAAAGATTTAAATGCTTTAATGTCCCCAGGTCGGATATTAGGTCCATCCATTAAATCAGAAATCCTCTTCAGCGCCAGCTGCTGTGGTTGACCATACATCTCAGTGAGCGCTCTTATAGTGTCTGTAAATGGGAGTGGACTGTTACTGTATGAGTCGGCTATAAGTAGCGCCTCTTCACATTTGAGATGATCGGTGAGTATTTGAAACTTAAAATGCTCTGGAGCATCATATGGGAGTAAGTTGTCGAGGGCTAGTTTCAATCTGGCAAACTCACGAGGATCCTCGGATTTGAAGTAAGGGATAGTTGGTTTGGGACCATGGTAGTACTCTAGCGCTGAGGATTTACCAAAGGAAGGATCTAGGTGGGGGGAATGTTGGCGGTCAGATGGATATCTGTCTCCCCGACCTCTCTCTCTGTCACAGTCATAGCGTGATGCCTGGTAATCATCATGGCGATCCCTATAGTCAGAAGATCGTCCCCTCTCTCTTCCAGAGTAGCGGCTATCATGGCGAGCGCTTGGGCTATTTGGTCGGTTGGGCCTCATTGGGCCATATTCGTCACTGTGGTCTGGGTGACTTGACTTGAATGGAGAGACACCATAATAATGGTGAGATCTGTCATCATGGTGATAGGGCTCATTATAGCGATCATATTCATCCTCATTGTTGGGATAATACTTGACATCAGAGTTGGATGCTGCTTTAAAATGAGGTCCTTTGCGATCACATGATTTATCACAAGCTTTACGGTGTGATTTACACTCTCTTTGATGTGACGACTCTGGTTCCAGACGATCATCAACATCATAATCCATAGGCTTGACTTGGGAGAAGGGAGATGAGCTTCGAGATGTTGCAGAGGAAGTGTCATCTTTGCTGATTAATCCCACTTCCTGCAAACAGCGGTCAAGGTCCTCAATGTGGTCACGTCGGTGGCTTTGTGGAGTTGGAGGAACATCATTAATCACCGATGGGGCACTTACTGCCTGACGTGGGCTTATGTGGCCACTAGATGGCGTCGGCTTACTTGTAGGTGCTGGTGTAGTAGATATGTCCTCTTCCCTGCTCTTGGATTGTGACTGAGGTTTTGATGCCTGTCCAGGAGATTGTTGGATTATATCTGTAAGACGCTGGACCTCTCTGCGTAGTTGGTCGCTTTCCTCTCTCATGCTTTTAAGATATCTGAGCACTTCAGATGAAGATGGCTGCTCCTCTTCAGTAATGTGGTGCCTTGGTGTATGGCTGACCTCATAATCCTGGAGATATGATGGTATCTGCCTTGATCTTTGCGGGCGGTTTACATCTCTCACATTTCTTTCATATGACCTTGACATATTGACTGTAGTGGTTGCTTTATCCGGCTCGAAGGACCAAAATTGTGTTGAAGATTGAGGCTGATTCGGTTATGTTGGGTATGGATAAACAATCACTCCAGGGTGTCGGGTTAGAACAGCTGATATATATGTCCAGGTGAGTTAGTGAAAGAAAGGAATGTCCAAGTCCAGAATTGAGCTTTACTTCCTTTTAATTAGCTCATGAGGTTCAGCCATACATATAAAGGCACGTGTGATGGGCTCACATGAGTGTGTATCTGTGTGTGTGTGGTTTTCTACAAAGATGAACAAAGAAAAATTATGAGAATCTGTCTGTAAATCATTTCACAAATAAACCAAATATCCAGAAATGAATAAACGTCTTTAAACATTACTATAGACTAATAACTGGCTAATATCTGACTATGAAAATGTAAACAATAATAATAATAAACCCTGCGTTTCAACCGGAAACAGTAACAGCTGCATCAATTAAACTAGCTCAACAGCTTAATGCTAACAGCTAACCTTTAGCTCTCAATAATACATGTAAACAGCACTAAACAACCATAATATTCGACAGAACACAGTACAATACAGCTCTCAGGCATTTATGAAACCGAACTAAACCAACAACAATATTACTTACGTTCATTGGACGCACACAATAGAAGGAAGTAAACGAAGTCAGCCTTGAGAGCCGCACCACTCAATGCTCAGATCCATATACAAGATGTAACATATATGAACGTGGAGCCACCTAGTGGCTGAAATAAAATACTACATCTAAAACACTGATAAGGAAAACCTAAACTAGAGGGCTGAAAACGAATAATTAACAGTCTTTTGTACAGGCCTTTTTGTTTCATATTTTATATGTAAACCATCTAATTTGATTGACAAATCCTCTAACTCACTTCCTCAAATCAAAAGCATTATACAGTTATTACAGGTAGGCTTTCAGTACAGGGGCCCCTGGCTGAAGAACCCCTTCTAGAACCGCCCTTTAAAAAATAGACTTATATAATCAGTTGCAGCTAAATTATATTCAAACTAAAATAACTAACCTACAAAAGAGATTATATTCTTAGAATCAGGTAAATAAATGCATTTCTATTAACCCAAATGGTTAAAGTAGCTTAGTTACACAGCAGTAGGAACATATGGGTGTAATAAATACCTATAGTGGTGACGATGGTGGCAGCAAAGATGACAGAATTGCCCCAGTCCCATGTGTTGTGGCGGTTGTTTCCAGTGATTGCCACACCTTGGCCTGCAGCCTCAGACGCTATCTGTGAGATTAACAAATGAAATTAAATCATTGGCGTAAATATCGGTAAGCAGTTGTTACGGGCCCCCAGCTTCTTAGGGGACCTTTAATGACACCTGATAGGACCCCTTCTCAATTACAGATGTAATGGTGCGAAAAATTCCTCTTAAAGGGGAATGCCGTTTATTATTTTACATTGGGCCCTTGATTTAACGTTATTACATCATGTTCTACTCACCCATATGAGTTTTGTGTCTTTTGGAGCTGTTCTGAAGATATTCGGTTTTGTTATATCCAAATAATGTCTTCGTATGGGCAAACGACTTGAAGGCAAAAACTAAACTGTTCATAATTTATTCTCTATGGTACGCCAGCATTCATAACATGTAGGCGAATCACTATCTTTTAAAAACAAAGCGTAGTGTGTATGACGTCATCTGCGCCTGCCGGCTACCGTTCATTCATCCTGTCCGCTGAACTGCTGCTAGTTTTACTCACATGCCTGGAAGATGTCTAGTGCTACTACCACAGATGATCTCGCTCTCGAAATGGAATTGAACGATTCAGATTAGCTCGCCGAATGAATGGAAGGGGTAGAGCGTAGCCGCCTGTGGCCCGGGGTGCCTATCACAACTCCAGTCCGGCGCGCTGATGACGTCATACACACTCCGCTTTGTTTTTAAAAGATATAAATATAAAAAAATATAACCGCAGATGTCTGGGGGACAGTGATTCGCCTACATGTTATGAATGCTGTACCATAACGAATAAATTATGAACAGTTTAAGTTGTGCCTTCAACTTGTTTGCCCATAGGAAGACGTTACTTGGATATAAATTAATGGAATATCTTCAGAACAGCTCCAAATGACACAAAACTAATATGGGTGAGTAGAACATGATGTAATAACGTAAAATCAAGGGCCCAATTTATTCAAAAAAACGGTGTAACCCTTTAAACGCACATGGCATTAAACTAACTGACTGAGTATTCATACCCCAACAGATGGAAGATTTCAACATGATGGTGAGCAGTTTAAGCACGACACCAATAGCAAAACAGACAGTGCTACTTTTAATTACTATGTTAATAACTGTGTATATTTCATTATACGGTTGGTAAAAAAGAAAACACTCATGTAATATGTTTCAAACCGCAATAGAGATCCTAAAAGAACGATATATTTGAGTATTTGGAATTCTGTTGTTGAGTGTTGTAGCCTACTTCATATGGGGCCCACCCAGATAATGTTGCTCACGGGACTATTGTTGTGTTTTTACGCCATTGAATTGAATCATCAACATACAAAAAAAGAGCAATAAACATAATATCAACCATAAATCTGGCATTAGCTATGAAGTAAAGCCTAAACTCGTACCGTCTTCCCTACAGGTGAACACACCTTGTGGTGGAAACTTTTAGACATGTAGTTTCGTGCTGCTTTACCAACTAACTACAGAATAAGCAAATAAACTGATATGTTTGTAAATAACTAAGTAGTTTGTCGAGTCTGGTTACATCCATTAAAAAAAAAAGAAAAAAGAAAAAAAAAGAAAAGAAAAAAACACGACACAGACGTGATGGAAAGCAGAGAATTCACACTTATTTAATAATCAAAAATTAATTTCAATGTTTGTTTGTTTTTTCAGATTAATTACAAGTTATAAAAGTATTTTTTTTCTCTTTATTAAAAAAGTGTTGTCAAACCTTCAGTATCTCCTCTAAGGTTTCCTTTGTGACCCGGTTAGTCCTCAGCAGGTTTTCCTTCTGCTGGATAAATCTGTCTCTGGCCGCTTCCCAGTTTGGCTCTTCGAGGATCTGAAAGATCGCGGCTCCGATCGAGAGGTAGAAAATTATGCACGAAGTTAAAAAAGGACCTTTGTCTGCCATATTAAAGCCATAACTTTCTCCTTGGCGAACAGCGGCGCATTCCTGCAGGGAGCAGCAGTTGATCTGCCCTCCTTTCTTCCTGGTTTTTCCATCAGGGCTTGGCAGAGCCAGTCCTCTAACACTTTAACTTTAAAAAAAGAGAAACATCACAGCTGGTTACCTGTGAAAAATACTACTATATTAAATGTTTCTCTTTTATAAAATTTTATCAGACAGAGTTAACATGATCCCTAAATACAAAATGAGGTTTAATGATTTTATTAATAGGGAAGCAACAATTTAAAAGTGAAACATATTCAAAACAGTAACACTTCCCTAAACATAACAGGTGACATAAAGGATATTATTTCAAATTACTGTAAAGCGTGTTGTAAAGAGTTTGGTCACACTGCTGGATTTGGAGCATGAACATGTTCAAAGAATTACTGGAAACAGTTAGATCAAAATTGTGACTTTTTCTAAGTCAGTACTGTTTTTTTGTTAGGTTTTTTTTTTTTTTTTTTTCAATGTCATTACAAAGGATCCAGCTAATGACAGATCATTTAAATCAATCTACACTCACATTACTGTAAACTGTGCACAGTATTGTTAAAACACTTTACAGTACAGTACAGTATTTGTTTTTGTTTTTTTTTACTCTTCACTATTATGTTATTCTTATACACTTTTTTATTTTTCTTATACACTTCTTATACCCTTCCACACTTGTGTGACCATTTTTTTCTATAATCTTTTTGCTGCTGTAAACACCCACATTTCCCCATTGAGGGACAATAAAGGGATTTTCTATTCTATTCTATACTTAGGACCTTTTTTAGTATATTTACCAACTTTCTGAGGACCATAAGGCATTGTGGAATTTAGTGGTATGATGTGAATATACTTACAGTTAAGATTAGGAATATAGTGGTAATGTTTAGGGTTAGGGGGAAATCAATAACTAAAATGAATGTAAAATTGAAATACAAACTTGTTTTTTTTTTCAATTTTCATACATGAAAATGTGAAAACTGCAGTTTGTAATTGCTCTATTTATCAGTTTATTTGATAAAATCTTGTCTGATGATATGAAACTAAGAAGTGTCATTCTAATTCACTCCTTTTTGAACATGGATGATAAAAAATATGTATGTATGAAGTAACAATATTGGTTCAGGAGTCTAACTAAAGAAAATGTCTAACTTCTAAATGTAAGTTCTTCAACAGAATATGTTCATAAATTAATACAGATTTACTTTTGATTATATTGTTTTAATTAAATAAAAAGTAATGCCATTGATTAAAACTGTGGGTCATGTTAAATTTAAAAAAGAAGCGTTTCCTGCAAAGACCCTGGGTGATAAAAGAGAAACCTTTAAAGTTTAAATGCTTTTAAAATAAAAATTGAAGGCGGGTTTGTAATATGTTCTAAAACAACTAACAGGCCATTAAGGCTGACCTGCCGGACCAGTCTGGACTGGTTTGAGCCTCCACCACATGATGAATTTAGCGTCTACTGAAGGAGTGAATAAAAGCTACTGACAGGGAGGCAGAAAAGGGTTAAATGCTGCAAAGCTGGAAAGGTTTTTATGTGGAAACAAAAACAAGGGTGGAGCTTCACTTCAGCTTTATTTACACAACACTTTTAAAACACAAAGTACTGCACAAAGCAGCTAAAACAAGGTAGAACATAACTATAAATATCGCATTAGTGTTCAGCGTAAACTGATGTGAAAAAGAAAGGTTTGGAGTTCTGTTTTAAAATAAGAGAGGGTGCTGATGGGTGTTGACATGCTGTGCCCAGATGGTAGGAGAAAAAAGCCACGTCTTGAAAATTCTGTGAAACAGCAGATCTGGATTCTGAGAATGAAGGAAGCCGGAGAGCGACACAGAGACAGGATGTGGTTTGCCCATTATTAACTTACAGTGGGGTAAAACATTTGGACCACTGGTGCATTTTTACATTTGCTCACCTACAAAAACAAAGACTTGTAATTATTCCTTAGTTATGGAAAAATACATATTTAGAAATTAAACACATTCCAAAAAAATGACTATTTAGTGTGTGTGTCACAGAGCCTTATAAAAGTGCCCATGAATGTTTTCCACCCTGTTGAGTTAAGAACAAGTTTGAACGTGCTGCTTCAGGAAACCCCTTAGAGCATTGGCCTAATCACCCTATGAAGGATACTGGGAAAACAAAACTGTTAAGGTATTTTTATATTTAAGATTGCTTTGTTCTTTCTTGTGCTGAGAGTAGACACATTTATTATGGTATTCATGTTTAACAGAAATACAGAAATTGTTTAAAACATGTCAATAGACCTACATTTCTAAATGCATTTCTATGTTTTTTTCTCTATGTTAAACACAAACATAACTAGCTAGTACAGTCATGTTGCTATTAGCAATATGTTTGTTATTCAAGAGAGTTTTGAATATTTTTGTGTTCAGCCACACAGAAGTCAGCAGTGAGAGTAGTTAGTCACACTGGGTGGATCTTGGCTGCTCTGTGTGATAATGAAGGGAGGCGTTGTCTGAATTACAGACATGCCGTTGACTGGATTGCAAAGCTAAAGAAATGGTTATTGTTGCTGGAGTTCAGAAAATGTGTCCAATTCATTAAAACAAAAACAAAAATGACTTAAACCTGTAAATAATATTTTCTCTCAAGTTAAATAAATATGTTTCCTTCTTCCCTGTGAACACTTTATCATTATAAATGTGCAAAAAATAGATGAGCACGGTTTGGAGTCAGGTGTGTCTGACTGACCCACTGGGACAGAGACACTGGGTTGATGCAAAGCTGAGAAAGATGTTCCCTGTGCATCAGATGCTAAACTGAGATTTGCTTTGCCTATTTGGGATTTCACATTACAGAAATAATAAAAAAAAAAAAAAATTAAAAATGCTTTGCCATATTCTTCCATCGTACATCTGAAAAAAAAGAACAACAGCAGGGCTCTGGTCAGTATTATAGCAGGACATAGTGAAACGATTCTTCCTTTTAGAGCAGACTTCTTTCTCTTCATTGTTATCTTCTGCTCTGAATGGTGGGACTGGGGGAAGAAAAATAATTTCAGGCAATCTGATAGCATTCTTACATTTTGTAACAACATGAAATCATAAAGACATATAAATGCTTTAGATTTGGCTTGTAATTGATTAAAGTATGTGGACATAATACAGTAAATGAGGGGAATTTGTTAAATAGAGTTTGATTAAAACAGTTCTTGTTTGTATTCTTTTAGCAGTGATTTTAGGTAACTTTTGTAGCAGATAACGGCTATATTTATTAAAGGCCAAAATAAAAGAGAATTCTGGCCAAAGAGCTGTTTGAGTCAGGTTTGCATTAAGCCACTTTTCAAAGCTATATGTGTGTATATTTGTTTTTGACACTTAAAAGCATGGCTACAATACTAGTGCAGTAACCAGTAACTGTCTCAGCTGTTTTTGGCCTCCTAGTGGATAGAGGGTCTCATTCAAACGTTCAAAAACAAGCTGCACCTATGCAAATTACAACATTAACATTTATTTTAACAGAGCTTTTGTCTGAGTTTTTCAAGAACATTTAACTTCTTTTTAATCAAATGTAAAAAAAAAAAAAAAAAAAGCTTGTTTCTATTTTAAATGTTACATTTTATGCTTTGTCTTATAAAGTAAACTATAGGCATATATATGATGAAATATTGTCATCAGCCCTATGGCGTATTCTTTTGTTATGAAATAATTTGTTTCTGGTGACATTTTATTTTTCCAATGTGGAAGTAAGGGTGTTGGCTTCACTCCTACTTCTCTCTCCGTGTGGATGCCAACCATTTAGTGAGGTCACCACATTACTCCACTTCTGGTGGTTCGGAAGGCTGAACAAAGTCAGAAACCTGTTGTAGCTGAAAAACTAATTTTCATGACAAACAGCTAAAAACAGAATATTGGTCATTGTGCAGATTAGGTGCTAGAAAGGCCCTCTGTCTCAACTTTAAAGCAGAGATGATGATATGCTCTGCCTCACATCACAGACAAAGTGTCCCTGTGTTTGCTGGAGGGAGTAGGAAATGATAGCTCTTTTTTTAAAACAGTGGTGGCTCTGGTTTTTTCCCAGGAACAAAAAACAAGAGGATTAATCATACATGCATGAAGCAAACAAACAAAAAAACACATTGAGCATGATTTTGATGAATAAGTAGCATTATAACATGGTCAAAATCTCAAAAGACTTGATTAGGCCTTCTTAGCTTTTAAGATTAATATGACAACGTAATACTGTATTATAATGTAAACTTGTGAGTTTTCTTCTGACAAAGTTTTGCTAATATGGTTTTTGGATGGAACCAAAGTTAACTAACAAATATTTCCTTCCTTTTTAGCATGCCAATGCTCTAACAAGACGACACATTCCAGTTCTTGTTGTAATGTGCAAAAATTATATTGACAAAAATATTTGTCAGAACATTGTGACACATATCTACATAATTCTAGTGAAAAACAGATTCATAAGAGGAACAAATTGTAATAAATAAAAAGCAGCAATGAGTGCGTGCAGATTTTTGACCTAACATTTTTTTCTAACCTACCGTGGATTCAGTTTTGACTTTCACTTTTCTTGCATTCAAATATTCAGTAATCCAACTAACCTTTTAGAAACATCTCATGGCCCCTAAGGGATGGCACTTAGTGTAGAGTTAGGTCCTCTGTAGCTTAACTATATATATATTTAAAAGTTGAACTAGCTCTGCCCATCAAGTGTTATCACATTAAATCGCATAATTAGAAAAAGCACTTCCGACAACAATTTTAAAAAACTATTTCATCAATTAAACTTAAAACTACTTTTACGCAGTAAACAGGGGGTCCGCGACCCCTAGGGGGTCCACAGAGGTTCTCCAAGGGGGTCGGGAAAGTTTGGTTTGATTAGACTTTTTTTTTTATATTCCTGAGATGCTTTTTTTCACTAATTGAAATGTCTTTAAATACACATTAACATGAATTCAACACACTGTAATAAACAGATAAATGGAGGCAGATATCAGCGACACACCGGAGCTCTTTCAGGCTGGGCACCGTTTCATTCACAACACCTGTCCCATCAACCACGAATAGAATCAGAAATACTTT